TAAATATGGACTGTTCAAAGCATCGTCAACCGACGGTCGATCACGTGGATCAAACTGAAGCAACGAATCAAGAAATGTTATACCTTCGCGCGATAAGCCACGATTGCCAAAATATTCTTGAAAATCTTGTTTCGATTTTTGTCCAATATTTTTTTTAACAAATGTCGCAGAATGAGTGTCACAAATTTCATCTAATTTATTTTCAGTTGGTGTTCCAACAATCCCGAGAATTTTTGTCAATTGGTCACTTTGATCTCGCCCAGGAAATATTGGTTTCAACATAACTAATTCAGCCATTATACATCCGATCGACCAAACATCACTTTTTGACGTATAAGTCTCCGCACTGCAAATTATCTCTGGAGCTCTGAAGAAAGGTGCGAATACAGTGAACATAATTTGTTATATAAAATAGAGTGTAAGGTGCCGGAAATGCAAAAGAGGAGTGGAGTTTTCGGTTTCCTTTAATCATCTAGGGTTTGATAGAGCTCCTGAGTAGATCAAGAATATGCCCTGATTAAATTTTTTCGATGAAGTTTTGATCGAGAAATCTTTAAAATACGGAAGGCTACAGAAAAAATGAAATTTTGACAGTTGAAAATTTGACAATCGAGAAAATTCAATATTCCATCCGTTTACATGTACTCTAATTTGTTTTTAAAGTAAGTTATTCGGAGTCAGCATCAAAAAAGAAGTAAGTCCATATAAATTTGAGAATATTTCATCGTTATTGTCACTAGCGACACACTGGCACCTTGATCTGGCAAAACCGTCAAGTCGTTTGCTTAAAGGTTTTTTTCTCGATCGTCATACACCGTTCGAATCGTCAAGTGAAGGGCTAAAAAGTTACGTTACGGTTTTTCAAAATTTTGTGCCATTGATGAGAGAAGTCGAGTTTAGTGGCAAAAATCGAAATTCTCACCCTAATTCACAATTTTCCCGATCAGAATTCAACTTTTACGCAATGAAAATATCAGATTCGGAATCACCACCCAAAATCGAGTCGAATGCTGTACTTTGTTATCCTATTCGATCACTTTAATCTTTTTTGAACTTTCACGTCCAATCATCAAAAAATAAAAATCAGTGAAAATTTTCAAAACATATATCATTCGACTTGATTTTTGACACTGATTTCAAATATGATAATTTCATTGCCTAAAAGTTGGTTTCTGATGGAGAAAATTGTGCATTAAGTCAGAATGCTGATTTTTGCCAGTAAAGTCGACTTTTCTCATCGAGGGAACAAAATTCTGCAAAACCGTCACGCACTTTTATTGTCCGTGAGTTGAAAATTCGAATGACATATGGCAGTTGGAAAAATCTCTTGACGGAAAATAGGAGATAGGTTTGACAGATCCAAGACTCAGTGTGACATCAAGCGACCCTACTCGAGCTTGGTGAGCGAGAGAAATGTGATAAAATTCACTCAGAGTCACATGGTCGTACTCAGTTTCTGATGCTGAATCCGAATGAATTAGTCTTAACAACGTAGAACGGACGCAAACGGGCGAAATTTTCATTTTTCCCGAAATTCGTCAGATTCTCATTTTTAGAGGGCTAATTTGTATTTTTGAGTTTCTCATCCAAAACGTGGTTTAAAAATATGCAAACTTCGATATTCAGAATATTCTCGTCGAGCTCTAAGTATATGTGGTTCGACCAAATCATATTCCACCTACTCTTTTGAATTTCCGGACCCTTACCTCCACCATCGTGTGGCTACATAATCAGTTAAAATACCACCAACAGGAGTTACTACTCGTGCAAGACCAAAATCAAGAATAGACAAATTTAAATCGGGATCCACACCGATATTACTCGGTTTCAAATCTCGATGTATAACTCCCGACGAATGAATAAATTTTACACCTCTTAACATGGCATAAACAAGTGTTTGAATTTGTAATTCTGAAAACGGTTGTTTTCGTT